TACTCGAGTACTAGAGTTGTCGAGAATCAAACCACATCCATTACAGCCTATTAAAAGTGTACAGCTGAACACTGGCTACATCGATTGTCTCATAAATGGGATAGGAGATGGAATAGCACTTAAGGAGTATGTTAGGGCTGAATCTGAACGACAGGGTAAGAAATTGTGTAATAAGAGAAGAGTGTGGTTTGCAAGATGATGTTGTGACCAGGATTAAGAAAAGAATGCTTCGGTGGTTTGGTCATGTGGAAAGAATGAATGAGGAAAGAGTGACAAAGAAAATTTATGTTGCAGAAGTGAATGGCAGAGTCGACAAGGGACGTCGTACTCGAAAATTTATCGATCAAATTGGCGATTTATTGAAAACGGGCCAAATTAGGAGTACCCTTAACCAACGAGCATGTATGCGTAGGTGTATGGATGTGAAGGAGGCGAGAGAGGTGTGTCAGGATCGTGCCAAATGGAAGTCTGTAGTCACTGCCTACCCCTCTGGGTAACAGGCGTGTTTATGTATGTATAGATGGGATATTTGTCATAAATGAGTTTTCTTCCTCGCACAACTTCCTTGTGGAATCGACTACAGTAGCAATTTTTCAAAACTATACGACTACATTATATTTTTATTATATACTAGCTTGCCAGGCAGACGTTGTTCTGCCTTTTTCGAAAAGCCTGTCATGTCCTACTAAAATCTTTAAATTCGCAAAAAAAAATTGTGGGTTAGTCGTGGGCAAAAAAAAAACTATCCTATCTCTCAAGTTGGACCAAACTGCACACGGTGTGCAAATTTGATTATAATCGTTTAAGTAGTTTAGGAATCCATCGCGGACAAACAACGTGACACGTAATTTATATATATATATATATATATATATATATATATATATATATATATATATATATATATATATATATATATATATATATATATATATATATATATATAAAGATTAACGACTTATAAACCTTCAAGAAAAGAGTCCATTTTTTTAAAAAGGCCAGCAACATACTTAATATCTGCAATTCCCCTGGTGTTGAACAACAAAAATTGGAGGCAGGTATGAAGTATTATATACAACCCATTGAAGTAATATGTACTTACGTACGTACGTAGTACGCAATAGCTCAATGATATAACCACAGACTTTATTATTACAATAGTGATGTTCTTTAATAGCGATGTTTTGATTCTTATTTAGTTCATGATTCGATTCCGCTTAAATTTTCAAAAAATCTTTGGGCTACTTATTTATAGTAATAAATTGGTATCTTCTTTTTTGTGTAATATTTGAGGGTCTTTGTGTTTCAGGTGGGCCCAAAAGCGATTTCTCCTTTACCGAAATTTACATAGCACATGTGAATAAATATTTTAGTTTATTCTTTATTTGTTTCACGTCAATGTCAATATTAGGTTAAGATACTAGTAATAGTTTCTTAAAAATTCGGCTGTAGCAGAATACCAGTGGTGACCCAAATTCACCACACAGCTGAGTCACAGGCCAGTTTGTCTCAGTACTTTTATGTTACTTAAGTATGTTTCTAAGTCAAGTTTGTGATGATTTTATTTGTACATTTGAATAACTTGTGTGCACTGAGACAAATAAAAGCTTTATTATTATTATTAGTTGTTCATGGGCGGCGGTAGTCCCTTACCATCAGGTGAGCCACAGGCTCGCTTTAAAAAAAAAGATACCACGCTTGGCAACCGCAGATTCTAATTCGATTATATTTCATCATCACTAGAACGTAACTTGTGTGCGTTTGCAAGATTACCTAGGACAACATTTTTAACTATGAGAAAGTAACACTCAATTTCTTTTTACTATTTTTTTTATTCATATCATAACAGATTATGACAATTAAATTAACATTAACTTTAAAAATCTCACCTAGTGTAGTTTTTTTACCGACTTCAAAAAGGAGGAGGTATTCAATTCGATTTTATGTTTTTTTTTTATGTGTGTCACCTCATAACTTTTCCTTTGATAAATCGATTTTGATGATTCTTTTTTATCTGAACGCTGGTGTTTTTCACGTGGTTCCATATAAATTTAATTGAGATATGAACAGTACTTTTTGAGCTATCTTTAATAATTTGTATTTAATTGACTACGAATACATTGATTGGGTTGTATTGAAGTCGGTTATACAAAATTTTAATTTTACTACTTGTTTGCTAGTAAAATTCTAAAAGTTTAATTTATTTCACTTGCGTGCGTAGTTACATATTATACAGACTAGCGGTAGTTTTTTATTAATTAGGTACTAGAGATGTGCCACATAATCGGGCGTTATCTATATCTACTATAGTACAATCGCAAAAAGTAAGTCATAATATTAAATTTAAGTAACTTACGATTAATGTACTACAATAAACAAATAAAAAGGATAGGAAAGGCGCAAAATTAAGAAAAAGGTTTTAAATAATTTAATATTTATTGCGCCATTTTGTGGATCGCGCTTAAAGTAATCTCGAAAGTTAATGGCCCCGTTTGACTCGCCTTAAATTTTTTTTCGTCGTCATCATCAGCGCTTCTTTAGTAAACCCTGGTCGGCGATCGATGGCAGTGTATCACTTAGTCAATGTCCGTGGTGTAGGCAAACATGTTCCAAAAGTTTTACGTACATAGCGATAGGCTTTTGGTGAGTAATAGTTAAGTGTTAAGGAAAAGTATTTCTTGCAAACTTGTGAAGCTTGTTTATGCTATATATGTACTGTTTATGCGATACTTTAGAAATCTGTAAAAACAAACCAATAATAGAAAAATTTACTACTTTTTGTAATACTTTACTGTAAAAGCTAAATAAAAACTACAAACCGGTTCGGCAGACAAACCCGCATTGTTGTAACTAACTTATCGATAGCTAAAGTTGTGGCGTCCATCACTATAGTGCAATACTTTCGGTTGCAGTGTACCAGTTTATTTTTATAAAATTTGCTTGGTACTTCGCAGCAAAAGTGCGAAGTACCAAGTTTCGATTTGACTTATTTGGCCTTTATTTTGTATAATATTTTGATAAATACTAGTTATCGATTATATTAAATTATATAATATTCAGTATCGTGTTGAAAAAGTACTGAATATATAAATCATTTAACAAAATTCACTACACATCTATATGTAGTGATTACTATTTATCACAAATTGATTTAGTTATAAGGAAATATATTTTCGTTAATATATTTAACTTGTGTAGTAAATTATATTTATTTAAAAATAGATTATTTTTCACTTTATGAACTATGATGGCCACACTTGGTATTGGACGAAAATATTCACAAAGTACGAGTTTTAATGATAAAATTACTTTAATATTATGTTAAAAATACTCACAGATGAAAAGTCACATTGTCCTTTTGTATACTTGACGTTTTTGATTGTTTTTTTCGTGTAAATACACTGCAATTCGGCATTTTGTCGTAGCTTGATTTACTGGCACGATCACTTGGGAATGACGCACGACGCGGAGCAACTAGTTTTATATAACGGGTATGAGTCGGACTCTCGTACCTTTTACAGGGGTATGCCTTGCGATGCCGTTTAATACTCAAAGAGTTTAATGCTCCTTTGGTTTAATACTCAAAGCGCAAAGACTGTAATAACTAGTTTTAAATACGATATAATCTTAAGCAATGGTTTGATCGAAGTAGTTTATTAAGTGATAAAACCGCTTTTCTGTCTAGGCATTCGTCTGGATAGGTTTTTTTTTTAAAAATAGAATAAGGGTGACAAACGAGCACACAGTACACCTGATGGTAAGTAGATGCTGTGGCCTATAGACATCTACATCTATCCTCGATTAAAAATCAAAATGTAGATGCGTTGTCACCCCCGAGGACTAAGATGGAATGCCCCGTTACCAGTAAAAAATAGTTTCCGCATCTCTACACTCACCATACGAATCACAGCAGCATCAAGCTGCTATTTTACGCTGGTATTCTGTGAGTGCCTGGTCCTTCCCCGTTTAAGCCGACTTGCTTGTGCTACAATCGTAATATAGATGCAGCGTGGTTCTAGAAACAGCATGGTAGTAGATAAATTGATCTATCAATAAATACTACTAATTAGTTACGTATTATTTTTTATTTCGATAGTTTTTAATTGATTTATTTATTTAGGTATCAAAATTTGTTGTTAATATTTTAGTACCGAAAGTTTATTTTAAATTAGTGATATTTATTGACTACAAACATAATATAGCTGCAGCCTGGTTCTACCACGTATAAACCAATCACCAAACCAAACAGTAGTGCGCGCACTTCTGTGCTTTAGTCTAAATGGTATGTAGAGCCAGTATAGTTAGAGACTGTGAGGCATTCCCTCTTAGTCCTCAGAGGTGACAAGAAAGTTGACCGCTGGTGTCTATGGACTGCCGTAACCACTTACCATCAGTTGGACCGTAAGTTTTTGTCACTTCAAAATAACAGTCAATACGAAATAAGAGGGCTGGTTCTTCTCTCGCTCAAATACTAAGTTTTGTCATTTAGCGGGGAAACGCAGTCAGAGTTCCTGGCTCTGTACCGCGGGGAATAGGAGTGTAATAATTTAAATGTTTGGTCTTTCTTTTTATGGTAACAAATCTTCTTTATCTATACATACATATAAAATAGAAGTGTCCGACGGTATCGAAATAACTAAAAATAAATGATAGTATTTATTATAAATCATCTTTAATTATTTTAATCTAAACAATGCAACATTAATAGATCCTGCCTAGGCTGAGATCTGCTTGATTGACCCATGATTAAAAAAAAAATTAAATCCCAACCCGAGCATACAATTGCAAAAGAATTCAAGAAAGTATAAGTTCATATTACGTAGATCGGATTTAACATTAATGATTTTTATCAGAAGATAGCCGTGGTTAACTATGATATCGGTACGTCGTGCTCGTACGAACGGTACTCGTACGAAGTGTTCGAAACGACAGGAATATAGAATAAGTTAAAATACGCGATAAAAACGTCAGAACTAGTTTTATTTAAACTCAGTGAAATATTAGCGAAGCGGTGTTAACTCGGCACCATCCACGTCGCTGTCATCATCAGTGGGAGTCCCCGCGCCCCACTGTAAACAAGACATCATTTAGTTTATTTGGTAATATTTTTAGGGTATTTAACAGCATTCTCATCTGGTGGGCTTATACAAATGATTTAAAAAATATATTAAAAATATCATCATCATTACAGCCCCTCTCACCAGTTGACTGCTGAACATAGCCCTCCCCCAAGGAATGCCACAAAGCAAGTTCCTAAGCCACCTGCACACGTCAACTTCCTGCATGTCTTACCAGTTCGTCACTCCATCTAGTGTCGCCCTCTAAATTTCTAAATATACCTAATATAACTAATATTTTAGAAAGTAAAATAAATCTACACTTTTCTAACAAATTAACTTCCTCCGCTATGAAATCTGTTGAATATCTCAACTCATATCTAGGTGACGCCGCCCTGGTGACAGAAAAAGTCGTGGATGCCCTCATTAACATTAACTAGGGAATAAGGCAGTGTGTCAGCCAAGTTTGGAAAAGAAGGACGACGCAGTGGCAGCGTATTTATCTACACGAACTATTTCGAGCCACTTTTGAACCCCCCATAACTTCAAAAGCTTTAGAAAAAACTAATAAGAACTCCTTGAATACCTAGTAATGTACTTGGTAGAGCCAAGGTGCAGCTATAATATGGTTGTAGCATGAATGGACCGGAGAAGGTCCACGCTCTCACAGGAATACCAGCGTAAAAGAGCAGCTTAATACTGCTGTGTTTCGTATGGTCAGTGGTCCTTTTTTATAGAATAAGGGTGACAAACCGACACACAGTCCACCTGGTGGTAAGTGGATGATGTGGTCCATAGACATCTAAATTTTTCCTAGATTATGAATCTAAACGCGTTGTCACCCGTGAGGACTAAGATGGAATGCCTCGTTTCCAGTAAAAAGGGTCTCCAGATCTCTACACTCACCAAACGAAACACAACAGCATTAAGCTGCTATATATTAAGTATTCTGTGAGACCGTGGCCCTTCCTTGGTCGAGCCGACCCATTCGTATTACAAACATAATATAGCTGCAGCGTGGTTTTACCACGTATAAACTTTTAACTGGAAATTAGGTTTTCGATCTTATTCCTAATGGCTCGGCTACACTAAGCTCCTCGCGCTGCCGCGATGTTGCTCCTTCTACCCACACACTGCTCTACTCGCGCAATTAATCGCGACGCACTCGGTCGCTCGCCTTTGCAACACAATGGCTGTTGAAACTGTTGCAGTGTGCGAGATATGCATATTTATTATAGCTATTGTCATTAAAAGAAATATATATAAATATAATATACAGAATGGGTCCCACATATATGCATTAAATGAAACCATATACTTGTTATCGCCTTTGCTGACAATATACAAAAAATGAATATAATCGGTCCAGTAATTAGGTCAAAAGTAGAGTTTTAATTTTAAGCAAATTTGAATACTCTATAGAATTGGGTCACTAAGTCAATGATTCAATGAACTTGAATCTTTGAACATTAAAAAAGCGACGTTGCCACGCAGTGCAAACTATTGGTATTGCGACATATCGACAGCGGTGTCTTTTGTCGGCGTGCCACCCGCGTGCAACGTTGTCACTCTTCCAAGGGGTCAAGGTACGTTGTCTAAACAGAGTGTTCACTTTTACTGAATTTATTTTAATATTTATTTTTTATTATTTTGACAGGCCTGTTGGTCTAGTGGTTAGTGACCCTGACTGCTATGCCGGAGGTCGTGGGTTCGATTCCCACCCAGGACAAATGTTTATGTGATGAGCACGATCATTTGTTCTGTGTCTGGGTGTAATTTATCTATAATATTTATGTATTTAGAAATATATAAGTATGTTTATCAGTTGTCTAGTACCCATAACACAAGCTCTGCTTAGCTTGGGACTAGATGGCGTTGTGTGATAGTTGTGGAATATTATTGTTATTATTGTTATTTTGTTTGAAAATTTCACTTTATTATTTTACGGGTTTTAATTTAATATTTAATATTTCTACACTTCTACGGACTAGTATTACTTGTGGTTTCATTTATTGCATATATGTGGGACCCATTCTGTATATCGTTGTCGAGATAGCTTTTTCTCTGTATATTATTTACTGATGTTATAATATAGCTGACTGATGATGATAGGTGCGTGCTTCTGTACTCGACGCGGACTTGGACTGCGTCACAGAGTACATTATATACTGCGTTTGCGCGAGTGTGTGGCCAGCCACTCGCGCTAATATTATCAGTCCTTTGACTCGCGCCCAAAATACCGACAAACAGAGAGCGATTGGCATGATGAGAAGCATGACGTGCGGCATGACGAGTATTGTGGCCACACTACGTCTCTGCCTCCTTTCCTTGCTAATTCCCATGCCACTCGACGAGTGTGTGACCGGGGGGCAAGGGGTGACAACGCATCTGCATTTGAATTCCTAATTGATAATAGGTGTAGACGTCTATAGGCCAGAACATCTACGTACCATCAGGTGCACTGCGCTTGTTTGTGATTATAGAATAAGGATTCTATAAAAAAAACCTAGAACCCCCAAATTTCATGAGTGAACCTATTATAGTTCTTGAGTTATCAAGGTCTGAAAAGTGCCACTTTTATAACTCACAAACTGATGCATTGACTCACTCGTCAAAAACCTAGGCCACTTTTAGGGTACTTATACTCAACCAAGAAATAACTTTGGATGTTTCACTTTGTACAAGTTTTTACGTTAATCCAAACAAATTTTGAAGTTATCTATAATTTATTAAAATATGTACATTTCTTAATCACTGACTTAAATTCGAATCTTTCAAACAAAGCAAAATATAAAACAAATTACCAGAATCAACTTTTATGCTTGATTTGTTTCAATGATATATGGAATATTTTAGCTTACAGTAGTGTTTGGATTTTTTTCAACACTGGTAAGGCTTCTAATCTTTTTTTACATTTTTTTTTAATAGGATAGCGTGACAAACGAGCACACAGTCCACCTGATGGTAAGTGGTTGCTGCGGCCCATAGACATCTACATTTATCCTCGATTACGAATCAAAATGCAGATGCGTTGTCACCCGTGAGGACTAAGATGGAATGCCTCGTTTCCAGTAAAAAAGGGTCTCCGGTTCTCTACACTCACCATACGAAATACAGCAGCATTAAGCTACCATTTCACGCTAGTATTCTGTGAGAGCGTGGTCCTTCCCCGGTCGAGCCGACCCATTCGTGCTACAACTATACTACTAATATAACTGCAGCATGGCTCTACCACGTTCAAAAATATACATGTGCTGCAAAACTAAATCTGCTTGCTAGTTTTGATTTATGGGGGCCCCATTTAAGCTTTGCGTCTAGTATTAATCCAAGAAAAATGGTGGCATCAACAAGACTGAGCTCCTTCCCATTAGAAATTACATTCGTACTAACATGTTTAACATTCGGAGTTATGAATTTCATACATTTACTTTTAGTGCCACTAAATGCAATTTATTAACATTAAACCAGTTTAATAATTTAGAAATAGCATTATTTACTTCTTCATAATTTAGTAGCCGTCGTTTTAATTTGAAAATTAGTGAAGTGTCATCAGCAAATAATACTATATCATGCTTATGTAAGGTAAGTCTAATAAATATATACAAGAAACAAAAAATGCCGAGAATTGAGCCCTGAGGCACGCCCATTGTACTATCGACCCGGAAGAGCTCATCCTATTAATGAAAACTTATAGCGTTCTCTTACTTAAATATGAAATAATTAACTTAAAAGCATTACTGTTTACACCGTAGTGTTAAAGTTTCCTGATTAATGTTTTACGGTGAAAACAATTGAAGGCTTTGGATGGGTCACAGAATATGCACAAAGCATCCTGTGAATTCCTTCCGCATTGAAGATATATTTAATCAGCTCAACACCAGCATCAGTTTTCGGGCGACCCCTTGTAAAACAGAATTGATTTTTATGTAGTTAATTATTTACATTAAGAAAAAATATTTGATCAAGAATATTTTCTCTAAAAGTGTTGCCAGTACACAGAAATATTGGTCAGTCTAAAATTGGTGGGGTCCAATGATTTAGATTGATGATTTAGATTAGACTCATTAAATTAGGAATTACATCACTATTCGATACTAAGACGAATGTAATAACATCCCATAATTTTCAAATCCATCAAGCTGTTTAGAATATAGAGCGTGCCAAGGAAATAGACATATTATACATACACACGAAAAACATTGCTTTTCCGTTTGGGGTAGTCGGGTAAAAAAAGGCAAGATACTTATGTCCACGTGTCCGATGTATATACAGCCTATAGAGCCCAATGCTTGTTAACGGACTTCACATATCTTCGAATTATATTTTCTTAATTTGACAGACTGTAAAGGTAATTTGTCAGTAATTCAGGTTTCTTCACGATGTTTTCCTTCAAATTCAAAGACGTGGCAAATTATCACTTAAAAATTAAAATTGCAATTTACATTTTCACAGGTGCCGCCGCGCCGTGCCGGCGGGGAACAAAGCCAAGGTGCCAGCGTGCAGTAAATTTTACTGCGAGCGCTTGACTTTTGAGCTACCACGATAATGTGCTATGATATTGTGTGACCTTTACAGCCTATCAAAGTTCGTTGCCGAACATAGGTCTCCCACCCTTAGGTTGGCAGCGGCAGTTTTTTTACTTTTGTACGTGGTAGAGCCAAGCTGCGGCTATGTTATCTTGTAGCAAGAATGAGTCGGCTAGACCGCGGTAGGAGGTAGTCAAAATATCAGCGTGAAATAGCAGCTTAATGGTGCTGTGTTTCGTCTAGTGAGTGTAGAGAACTGTAGTATATATAGTATTCAATGAACAATAGATAAGTAGATAAGAACAATGGGGCGCTAATGACGGTGGAGGCCCGCACCGGATATCAATTAGATAAGAGTTAATTGATCTGCACATCTCCGGAACCGTGCATCCTACGCAAAAATAGACCGCAGATTCGTGATCAGAGCATGCCAAAACCTTTTTTTTTTAGGGTCGTGAGTCGACGAACGTCGTACTTGTACCACTTCTGACTCAGTGAGACAGAACTGGTACAACGTAACTACTTAAAGATATTTGTCATAGTTTTCGAATACCAGCGTAAAATAGCAGCTTAATGCTGCTGTGCTTCCTATGGTGAGTGTGGAGACCGGAGACCCTTTTTACTGGAAAAGAGGCATCTTAGTCCTCACGGCTGACAACGCATCTGTATTTTTATTCGTAATCGAGGATAAATGCAGATGTTTATGGGTCACAGCATCCACTTACCATCTGGTGGACTGTGTGCTCGCTTGTCACCCTTTTCCTATAAAAAAGTCAACATACTTGTGTTGTTATCGGAAAGAAGCTGCCCATCTCCTGTTTGATTCCCTCTGTCGCCTCTTACGACGCCCACGTGATGATATGGGGCAGTGGTTTCTCTTACTAGCGACTTCACAGCGTAAACAAATAGAATATTAGATAGAATAATCTTAATAGTATTTTTGAGTTACTCATGGTTCTGTAATACATACGTGGTAGAGCCACGCTGCATATATATTATGGTTGTAGCACGAATGGGTCGGCTCGACCGGGGAAGGAACACGCTCTCACGGAATACCAGCGTAAAATGGCAGCTTAATACTGCTGTGTTTCGTATGGTGAGTGTAGAGAACCGGAGACCATTTTTTACTGGAAACGAGGCATCTTATCTTAGTCCTTAGGGGTGCGTTTTCTGAGTTTTCATTCTTAATCTAATGGGCCAGAGCATCCACCTACCATCAGGTGGACTGTGTGCATGTTTGTCACCTTATTTCATTAAAAAAAATCAGATTAAAATAAATGTTAATGCTGCTGTATTTAGTATATTATGAGTGTTGAGAAACTCTTTCTACTGAAACCGAGGAATTTCATCTTATATCTCACTTGTAGCAACCCATCTGAAATTTGATTCTGAATTTGGGATTATCATCTATGTCACCATAGGGAACACTGAAAAATTTCAGCTTAATGCTGCTGCTATTTTAAGCCGGTATTCTGTGAGAGTGTTCTCCTTCCTCGGTCGAGCTTACACATTCGTGCTACTATAATAGATTTGCAGCGTAGCTTTACCACGTGTAAAAAAAATACTTTTATTTGTTCTGTCGAATAAAAAATCGGCCCTAAATTTGACAAAATTTTAACTCTGTTTATAAATATCAACCGCCATTCGCGTAATCTTAACCATAGATCATGTATATTGTATACATAACCTGTCGATAACACTGCTAATTTCAACAAGCTATCAAGTGGCTTGTAACGTTATTAGGTGTTCCGGTCGATTGGAATTGTTTTCATAACATTTACGTTTTAGAAACGAAATACGTTGAATTGGACAGTAACCAAAATGTCTGTTTGTTACATAAACTTTGTGACATAATATCAACAGTTTATGCACCGAGTTTCATTTTGAAATTAATCCCACCAAAAACATAAATGTGAAAAAGGGCCAATAGTACAAATGAAATTCGGGATTGTCCGCCTCGCCGATTGATTAAGGATCTGAACGGGTGCCAAGCTCCATAGTAGTTGCTAGAATCATACGATCTGTAGGAATGTACACGTTCTTGGATGGATGGATATGTTGGATCTTGGGACCTGTTTAGATTTTAAATCTTAAACGTCATTTGTGCTCAAAGAGTTCTATGTACATTACTAAATGGGTACTACGTTACATTGCGTACTAAGTCACACACAACACATGGTCCACCCGATGGTAAGTGGATGCTATGAAACATAGATTACATACATACATATCTATCTTCAAATAAGAATCAAAATGCATATGCGTTTTTATCCCTGAGGAACATGGAATGCCTCGGTTCTAGTAGAAAGAGTCTCCGGTTCTCAACACTCAGCAGCAGGAGATGGGCAGCTTCTTTCTGATAACAACACAAGTATGTTGACTTTTTTTATAGGAAAAGAGTGACAAGCGAGCACACAGTCCACCTGATGGTAAGTGGATGCTGTGGCCCATAAACATTTAAATTTATCCTCGATTGCGAATCAAAATGCAGATGCGTTGTCAGCTGTGAGGACTAAGATGCCTCTTTTCCAATAAAAAGGGTCTCCCGTTCTTTACACTCACCATACGAAACACAGCAGCATTAAGCTGCTGTTTTAGGCTGGTATTCGAAAACTATGGCAAATATCCTTATGAGGTGATCTATAAGGGAGGCCTAAGTTTAGCAGTGGACTTTGGATGGGCTGCAATGATGATGATGAACGGGGTAGGATAGCATGACTTGGTGTATATGTAGCGAACCTGTGCAGAGAGAGGATGAGCTACAAGCGCACGATAGAGCAAACCCGCGTACAGCAGATTGGCAACGCCGAGGGTCCGCAGCGCTGTTTCAAAGCCCACTGCCCACGACAGCACTCCACCCACCACTGGACCTGCAAACATTATACCAATCTCACTTACCTATCTCGGCTGAGGATTTACACGTATTTTTTTAAACATACACACACAGAATAACAAAAAAGCTAAAAATATTTACTTTTAAATTTTTATTATTTATGTAAGCCAAATTATTTCTCAACTTCAAAATAACAAAACCTAAAACTGATTTTTACTCCACCTGAGATTTGAGACAAGGGCCGATCTAGACAGTTCATGATCAGCAGTTCATGATCATCAGTGCGTAAGCACTATTCTGGACTAGACCGTCGTCACCGGCATTCGGTCTGGGCTGGGCCCTAACTAATAAACGTATAATTTTTTATACTTATATTGTAAAATGTTTAACTGTACAGTAGATCTCAACAGCGTTTAGTAAATCTCAATAAATTCTAAAAGCAACACTGCTAAACATTTGTAAATCAAACCTTTGAAATTGTAAATTAATAATAGCCGACTCACCGATCAGAATTGTATTACAATCATACGTTACATAAAGATTGAAATATTAGAAAATAATATAAACTTTAATTTCTGACAAATTTGTAAATTTCCTGTCGCCTGTCGCTGTCCTGCCTGAAACCTTCATTGAACAGAATTAATGTGAAATAGTAGTTACAGTTCTTCAGTTGTAAATTTTTCGCCATAACAAGTGTGTAACTTTTGAAAGTTTACAGCTGAACAGAGCATTCCCCCATTAATAATCCCTTGCCCCCTGATGTTATCGTAGTTGCCACGCTCGGCGAGCGCATTGTAAACCGCAGTTTATTATTTTTGCTAGTTATCAGGAACACGCTGCTGTGCATCACCTGTTTCCACTTCCTTCTGTCGCGTCTTACGACACACACGAGAAAAAATGGGGCAGTGGATATATTTACACCGCCTCGGCCTATAATTTTTACCTTTTATTTTTGTTTAGCTTAAATAAGTAGAAATCGAAAATTTTATGTAATTTTGAAAATTCTTTTTATGCGTGGTAGAGCCATGCCTCAGTTATATTAGTAGGACCAGATAGTAGTTGCAGTCGTAGTAGGATGGAAGGACCACGCTCTCACAGAATACCAGCGTAAAATAGCAGCTTAATGCTGCTGTGTTTCGTATGGTGAGTGTAGAGAATCGGAGACCCTTTTTACTGGAAACGAGGCATTCCATCTTAGTTCTCACGGGTGACAACGCATCTGCATTTTGATTCGTATCGGTGATGAGATGTTTGCAGCGTCCACTTACCATCAGATGGGTTGTGTGATCGTTTGTCACCCTATGTTATAAAATAAACAAAATTACAAATTGTAAATTTTATTAAGTAGATTGTAGAAGAACGAGTAAACATAATGAATTTTTTTATTTTTCCATGTTGCTATGGCAATGATATTTTCAATTTCGATATATGATATAGTCCTGGGAACTTGTCAACTGTATTAGAGGACATTTTATTATTGTTTACAATCGCCTTTCGATAACTAGTTATTTATAAAAACACGGCTGAAGAGTAATTATTGGCACAAACAAATATATATACTTAGTTAAATACTCTTCATTGTTAATGTTTAATCAATAAAGCTTATCCTCGAGTCTATCATACAGTTCTGACAAACAATACTAAATGTTTGCACGTTCTTATTTGCACAAATAACGCAATAAACTGTGCACGTAATGAGGGCTTATTATTACGCTCGACAGATGTCGCTATCTGTGTCACACATTGTCACCCTTTTAAATAAAAGTTTCAAGGGTATGTATATACACAAAACAATGTCTAATATTGTCTTTAATTTTTACACATTTTTAACCTTTTTATTCTTTCACTTTTAGAAATATTCGTAGTTAACAAGCAAAGCATACAGCCTATATACATCCCACTGCTGGGCACAGGTCTCCTCTCATTTCTGAGAAGGTTTAAGGGCAAGGAAATGTTCGCCGTGCTGCCCCAATGTTTGTTGACAAACTTTACTTTTTTCGAAACACTTTTCTTTCCTTATTTTTCAAACATTCAGCTTTCCTTATGAAGTTTTCCTTCACCGTCGAGCTCGTTATAAATCACTACCTTAAATTGCAATTAACAATTTCATTGGTGCCGGCGGGGATCGAATACGTGTTGAAAAATTCTGTTAATTTGAGCTGCTAGTGCTGCTAAGAATTTCTTAACTGAATAACTGAAGAACTAATTTTGCCCGAACCTAAAATCTCATCAGTCGCGAATAAATGTAGATGTCGAAGGGTCACACCCACATTGTCCATTTATCCGCGGACTGCGTGTTAGTTTCTCACCGTTATACTACGATAAACTAAACTGAACTAAGTACAGCAGTATCCAGCACTCACCCAGCGCATAGGCAGCACTGGCGGCGGCCTGCAGCAGCGCGGCGAGCTGCGGCAGGCGGCGCGGGCGGCGCGCCAGCAGCGCCGGTGCCAGCGCCGCGTCCGTGGCGCCCAGCCCCGCGCCCAGCCACAGCTGCGGCAGCGCCAGGCCCCACGCCTGCACACCGCGCATCTCTACTGCTCAACATACCCAGGAATCCGGAAGAACTACAGTCATGAGCATGATATGATATGAAATGATATGAATATAAATACAACCATGAGATATGTGCGCACTTTTTTAACTTATTAAAATACATTGCTTCCCCACAACCCCACCTGGTGGCAAGTGGCTCTGGACGAATGCGCAATTATCTATGAAGTAGTAGACGTCTCTTCATGTCTAGAAGTACGTCTCCACCGATTACAAGCTCTTACCAATTCCTGCCGCCAAGAGACAATGCTTGCTGCGGGAGAGCCAGGCCCTAAGCCTGCACAGTTATCACTCAAGGCTGCAGCCCTTCACAAGTCTAGTGCTGATATGAGATCAGGTTAGTTTCTACTACTTGGAACTAAGCACACCACTAACTTAATCGACATTTAATTCTTTTAGTTTTATAATCTCTATGCATAAAAATTTATTGCCATGAAATTTTCTATGTGCGTTTGTGAATTGGGGCCTGGAAAGTTTGCACCAGGTAAGTAACGCTTTTGTCTAGATCCAGAAATCACTTGTGTAAAGTCGGGCGAATTGAAAACAGAAAAAAGTGGAGAGTAAGTAAAAAAACGTTAAATGTCATATACTTATCAAGAATAACGAACGATAAAAAGTTTTCTCAAAAAGTAAATGATATCCCACTAAAAACATTTTTCGACGGGGGCCAAGTTTGATACAAACAATGTTCAGGTTGATCGGCTTTGTAGATTTTTTAAAAATACTAATAATCCTATTAATTAAAATTATTAATTACTTTTAAACACTGCTGGTAAGCTTAAAGTTCATGTTAAGAGTGGTTCACGACAGTAGTCGAATGGCGGATTCGAACCCACGACCTTCTGAGTTCGTAATCCACACCCTGCCACAGCTACAGTCGCTTCAAAATACGAGTATATAAGAGTTGAGATCTGAACGGACGCCAAAAATTTTGAGAAGATATGTGTATATTTAAAAAAAAATCACTCACAATAATTATATAATTTGATCATTACTCAACGACTTTTTAAAGAATCTCGTTATTTATATTATTCAATGAAAATCTATTTCACTGCATGATACCTCATTTAAAGCGAAAGACGTATCGTATTGTCGACGGTGGTGTACGTCTCCTAGTGTACTGGTGTTGGGAGAAGTGGTGACGGGGATAGAGCACGTGATTGATGGTGGACGGGAAGTTGCCCTCAAACTAGGTAAAACACATTATTATATTTTATTACGCAGGACTTTGCTAATTAATTTTTAACAACGTTAATACACTAAGACTTATAAAATACAGCTAAACCAAATCACTGTTGATACGAATGCCACAGATTTGTGTTTTGACACATTTATATGGCTGTCAAATAGTACTCATTGTTCTCATAAATTGCTCGAAATTAAAACTTAGAGGCAATAATTTGAGTGAGAAGCGACCATGGCGCTCCTCTCTACCTACTCTATTCTATGAATAAAGAATATAAATACAACCATGTGTTTCATATTGATACATAAAATAGCGTTTTGTCTGTACCCAGCGAAATGACATAATTAGACAAACTCAAACAGAATAAAAATTATACATGAGGGTAGTTCCTACCCCCGCTAGCATGGTACAGTAATATTTAATAAAATAAAACAAAACAACAAGGAACAAACTACATACGGATCTGGCGTACGGGACAGCTAGAGCCGCCAGCCCAACGGAGACCTGTCCCACCAGCGCCACTCTCTCAGCACCGAAACACTTCGTAACCCCTCCCAATGAACTTGTAGCTATCAAGTATCCCAGACTGTCTGAAAGAAATAAGAAAAACAAAATATAAAAAAACCAGTGTGCTTATAACCACACGACTGAAGTAAAACTTCTTTAGTTCCATCTGTATATATATATTTTTTTTTTTTTTTTTATATATATATTTTTAAAATATACATAGACACTTATTATTTTCCACAAATTTTTGAATATTTATTATCGGCTTCCTTCCATAATTTGTTATTATTCACTTGTAAATTTACAAAACATCAACTTTAAAATGAATTTATAATAATTATATTCACTTTAAACGTAGAATATTAATTTAATTTATTGAACAAAATATTAATTCATAACATTGTTCAAAACGAAATAAAATTACGAAAAATAACTGGCTATGAGAGAAAGAGAGAGAGAAAATGTGCGCGCGCAATGCTCTCTCTTGCTTATATCCCCCACTCAACTCCCGTTCGCCTCGTCCGATCACACTTTTCGTAACGCTTTCGTCACGCGTTCGCCAGCTTACTCCTCCAATTCAAGCGTGCGTAAAGAAGTTTTTCTTCGATATTGGTGACAGACGATCACACAGCCCACCTGACGGTACGTGATGGTTGCACAGACACAAAGACTTTTAATTTCTTTTAAAAAAAATTATACGTGGTAGAGCCATGCTGCAGTTATATTAGTAGTACAGTTGTAGCACGGATGGGTCGGCTCGACCGGGGAAGGACCACGCTCTCACAGAATACCAGCGTCAAATAGCTTAATGCTGCTGTGTTTCGTATGGTCAGTGTAGAGATCCGGAGACCATTTTTACTGGAAACGAGGCATTCCATCTTAGTCCTCACGGGTGGCAACTCATCTGCATTTTGATTCGTAATCGAGGATAGATGTAGATGTCTATAGGCCACAGCAACCACTTACCATCAGGTGGACTGTGTGCTCGTTTGTCACCCTATACTATAAAAAAAAAGTAAACTGCTAGACGGGCTCGCGGCCTTAATACGAGTATGTTGCTCGCTAACTTTCAACTCCTTTAGTCGATAGCGAGCGGGTGAGAAAACTACTTCTTCGTTTTATAAACGTTGATTTCAATCCAACTCTGATTTTGTTTAATGTGACTAAGAAAACACTGTCATATTAATCTGACAATGGGATTTGAAGTTTATTTCAAATTAGTACTTGTGACTTTTTTCGTATTGCCCTAAAAATTGGAACTGTCGTAAATGAAAAAACAACCGCGTGGCATATTGACGGTGCCATCCGTCTGCAGTTGATTTTACTATAGCGTCTATGCGATCCTCTGCTGTGACATAGGTTTTGTTCTGGATTATCGATTTAATAGCCTGCATAAACATATTTATCCTCGATTTTAAGAACAAAAATGCATATTTTATGTGTTTCGTATGGTGAGTGTAGAGATCCGGATACCCTTTTTTACTGGAAACGAGGCATTCCATCTAAATCCTCAGTGGTGACAATGCATCTGCTTTTTAATTCTTAATTGAGGATAAATGTAGATGTCTATGGGCCACAGCATCCACTTTCCACTAGGTGGACTGTGTGCTCGTTTGTCCAAAAGTTCTAGAGGATTAAATGAAATGCTTTGTTATCAGTAAAAACGGGCTCTGGTTCTCATCGCACCACACGGATCAAAGCAGCATTATACTGTTATTTTACGGTGGTATTCTATGCGGGCGTGTTTTTTACCTGGTTTAGGCAACCCATTTTTGCTGTAACCACAATACGCTAGTGCGTGGTTCGACACAGTTGTATTAAATAAGACATAAAATAATAATAATAATAATGTCTTTTAGATCTGTCGCAACAGAGACTAACTATCTGAGCAGGACAGAATCATAGTGCCCGAGTGTATGCGCAAGCACAGGTGTACTGTTCTCTCACTCTCATAGTCCGATGGGATGACAAGCCGATACGACCCGAGAGAGATCAGGATTAATGCCCTTCAGGTAGAGTGTGTGAGGCTCCCCTCAACATAAGAAGACAATACCTTTCAGACAGATTCTTCTCTAAGATATGTCAACTCTCTTCTCATCCCTTAATTCCCAGGTTACACCTCCTCTCAGAATTCTTATCTTCAAGTAGGTACTGGCTCCATAAAGATTGTCCACATTTGTTTAATAGCTTTGTCTCATTTCTCCAGATTCCTGGTACCATTTTCTCATGCAATACAAGTCTCCTTTTTAATACTTCTTTAGAAGCTATTATATTTCAACTTAACATTCACCGTGACTTTGATATTAGAAAAACTTCCCCTGAGCCAGAATCAAAATTAAAAGAAGCTATAGAAAAAAATTGGAAAGATTGGATGATCATGTATACAGATGCATCCAAAATGACTAGGTCCAACGGGTTTACGTGCTTTCCGACGCACAAGGTTAAAATACCGACTCCAGGCTCAAATTCCGGCCCGACCCGGGATACGAGTCCAGCCCCACAATATCAGTAGCCTTGTGAGTAACTTACCCGGTAAGAAGGCGGCCCCCGTTTGCCATCGCTTCGGGTGAAATTTCTTTAGCATCCACAATGGTAGGCATGGTTCTAATGCTGCCATAATGCTGGTGGTGAACAGCACGGCTCCCGCGCATTCTGCCGCAGCGCCGCGGCGAGCCACGCGCCATATTGATTCCGGTTTCGCGTAGTTAACGTTGTCATTATTGTTCTCTTGGTTTAATTGGATCTAAAACACAGCATGGTAACTCAGCCACTACTCTGGTGGGGCCGAAGGGGCGTTATTTTATTATGGATAAGGGTGACAAACGAGCACACAGTCCATTTAATGGTAAGTGGATGCTGTGGCCCATAGACATCAACATAGTTTATCCTCGATTAAGAAGAATCAAAACGCAGATGTGTTGTCACCCGCGAGGACTAAGATGGAAAATCTCTTTTTCAGTAAAAAAGGTCTTCGGTTCTCTACACTCACCATACAGCACCATACACACTACAGCAGCGTTATGCTGCTATTTTACGCTGATATTCTGTGAGAGCGTGGCTATATAGTTGTAGCATGGCTCTACCACTTAAACTATTGTGATTTATTATATAATAAATATTATATAATAAATTTTATGTAGATGTCTATGGGCCGCATAAACCACTTACCATCAGGTGGACTGTGTGCTCGTTTTCACCCCTATCCTATAAAAAAGAAGAAGTAAAGTAATGTAGGAGCTGAGTATCGAACTGACAACGATACAATAATATAGCAGCGCGTTACGTATCCACGCCACGAAGTCTTATGATTATGATTCTTCAAACGAAATTATGGATCGCTCACTAGTTCTGTCAGGTAACTTTTTATTGCAAGTAGGTAGACTCAATTTTGAATGAAATTTATTTCTGCCAACGGTTTTTTGGTGCTTGTAATGAACCACTTATCTCTTTTAATAATAATAATATATTTTTAATTCAGACCATAGTCCATATAAAAATGTGTTAGTAAACAATTAACTTATATAACTATGTTAATACAAAATGTGTTAGTGAATATTACTTATGCTATGTTAGTCCTTAATCTACCTTAACCTATTCAGCACCAGCGTGGGCGCTGAGGCCTAGTGCCGGTGTGCACATCATTCCAGCTCCTCCAGAGAGGGCTGTCTAGCTTAGAGGCCAACGCGCTGAGGAGGGTGTTAGTGCTTCTCACAAGCCTGCTCATCATGGACGCGGCACGCTTTCGCACAATCGCGTAGAAGTCATCCACACGACTGTCCGCAAACATTACCGACGCACTGCAGTTTCGCGGCTTCCTCAACACCGCCCTCAGCACATTGTTGTATTGCACTCTCAGGGCGCCGTAGGTCCGCTGCGAATAGCCCGTCCACAGACTGCACGTGTAGAACGATTGGCAGTAAGCTTTAAACAACGTTATCTTAACCTGCTTTGTACACCGTGCAAATCTGCGGGCCAACATGTTGCCTCTCACCGCCAGCGCCCGGCGCTCGCGTTCAATGTCGCTGTCATCCTCCAGGCTGTCGGTTACTATATGGCCAAGGTACCTGAACTCAGTAACCTGTTCAAGGGGACACCCACATAGTTGAAAGGTGGGTTTCAATATGGGTAGCTTATTTTTCCCCTTGAACACAAGAAACTCATTTTTGTTGGAGTTGTAACTGAGTCCATGTACCTTAGCATACCCTTCACAAATTTGTATTAATCGCCTAAGACCACTGATTGAGGGGCTCAACAGAACCATGTCGTCAGCATAACTAATGTTGTTTATACTGACCCCATCTACCGAACAACCGACACCAGCTCTACTGAGGCTCACAATCAGTTGATTTACATACAAATTGAACAGCCTAGGTGACGTCAGCCCTCCCTGCCGTACTCCACACCCCAGGCTATAATCTTCGCTCAACGCATCGTCCCATCTCACCACATTTTTCTGGTTACCATACCAATACACGAACAAAGCGATTAGCTCAGGCTTTAAACTGGTTTCGTTCCTAAGCTTTTGCCACAAGATTTTGTATAGCACTCGATCAAACGCTTTAGACAGATCCAAAAAGCAAGCATATACCGGTGTTTTTCTATCAGTGTAATACCGCACAGAACAAACAAAAATCTTTTAAGAACTTATTTAAGAGTTTTAACTTGCTGCTACGAAAACCACTGATTTTCAAAAAATCGGGAAGTTATTGTTTTCACCCGTTTTTTGAAAATCGAACCATACGAAATACAGCAGCATTAAGCTACTATTTCACGCTGGTATTCTGTGAGAGCGTGGTCCTGCCCCGGTCGAGCCGACTCATTCGTGCTACAACCATAATATAGCAGCAGCATGGCTCTACCACGTATAAAACTGGGTTACTATTTGCTTTTTAAAAACAGTATTGGTCCGTTATAATTTTTAAACGATTTTATAGGGCATTTTAGTCACTGTGTATTTGTTGTGGTCATTATATCACTTTTATTGTTATAGTGTGGTAAATAACACTTCTTATGTTTTTGTTTTGTTGACAACATCTAATAAATCGATGAACGCCGGCTGCACACACGAAAAAGGATGACTCATTGTAACGTTACGCTCATTGTGACGTTACGATCTGGGCGAGAGCGCTGCACGAGGGAGCGAAAGGCACGATCGGCTTTAGTTGAAAAGAAAATTTATCAATTAAATTGTAGATTTCATTTCACTCCTTCTTTGTATCCATACAAAATAGTGATAGTTCAATAAAAATGATTCTATTTTATTCATAAAAGTATGCATTCATTTCATCAATGTTTTGTTATGACGTTATCACGTTAAACTATCGTCCGTAAACCGACTTTACATACAACCAATTCTTTTTTTTCTTTATGATTTGTATAGTTCACCGTCTTCTTGTGTTTATAATATTGTTTTTAAGTCACACAGTGTAGTTGTTTTGATTTAGTTTACCAAATTGTTATTTTAAAGATATACATACACTTCAATTTTAGTTCAATGTTTTACTGTTTTGTGTAAGCTTCATGCCCAGAAAACAATAGGACAGTCAAATATGTTTTAACACTTTAACGTCACTTTCGCTGCCAGTTACCTATTAGGTAATATTATTTTTATTAATTTTTATTCACGGAGCCAACGGAGTTTACGTGACGGACTAGTTTTGTATAATACACAATTAAAAAAGAGTAACGTTAACGTAACTAATAATGTTTGATCAAATAAAAATATTTTGGCTACCTATGTCAAAAAAAGCGCGGTTTAAGCTCGTAAATAAATAATGTTACTTACTTGGTAACTGTCTTCGCATAAGAAGAAATATTGTAACCCTGAAAAAATTGCGAGCGTTTTTAAATCTCAAATTCATTAGAAACTTATGAATACTTAAATTATTTCGTTCACAATACGTTTTCCATACCAAGGTTCACCAGTAAAGCCAGGAAAACGAGTTGAAAAGGCGCTGCAGAACTCCAAAGAGAGTATGCCGAACCTCCAAACGGATATCCAACTAAAACTCCTGCAAAAAAGGTAAGCAATCATAAAATAATAAGAATTAGTGGTCACACAGTGACCGTAATCTAACCGTAATTCATAAATTTTTTAGGTAAGTGATGTATTTACTTGTTTTTACATTAGCTCATGTAAAATCAAGCAAGCACATTGCTCATTTTTTTTTGGTCCCTTTTGGGGTAACCAATTTAACGCAGTGATTCTTTACGTTTTCTGTTGTCGACGCTAAATGAATTCTTAAATTTTGCGACCATGAATCGATTCTAGTTCAGAAATGCTACCTTCAAGTGTCAACACAAACCACTTGAAGGTTTTCATACTACTGTTACGAGCCTGAGGTTCGTGACAATAAAAACTGCCGATTGAATTACCAAAATTAACTCTTTAATTCACTTTACACTAATTAAAACTTAGAACACTAAGAATTAACCACACTGATTCACTTTATTTCGCTCCGAAGCTTCGCTTGTCTCGCCAAATTCAATACTTCCCCGATCGCACCTTGCAGCGCCTATAAATACACATTAGCACCGAAACATCCAGAACATTCAAGTAAATACGCGCAAGGCGTCGAAAGTTCGAGTGTCGGCTTCTAGAAGCTTAGTTCTTCGTTTCGATACTAGATGGTGCTGTCGGTAGCGATTAGTGATGTCATTTTCTGGAAAGCTCCCCTCGCTCCGTTACCCGACATAGATGGCGCTAGTGCCGGGTACATGACGTCAACTTAGGCGCGCAACACTACATTCACATACCGGCTTCACGTGGGTAAAGACAGGTTATGTCGGCCTCGTACCGACAGAAACACCATGGTGTTTCACCTTCTCCACATATAATATGTAAAAACCTTTTGTTTCTCGTTAAGTATCACAATCGGTATTAACATGAAGAAAATTAAAATAACTTTACTTCAGAGAACTATACCATAAAAAAAATGAAATCAGTTGTATAACCTATGCATTTACTGGTGATCAAAAAGTATTATCAAAGACCCCGTTTTACCGATGCGCGTGTTAGTTAGTTCAGATTTAAATAACATTTTTCCACAAGATTGAATTTAGTAAGTCATCTATTGTTACATCTTGTACCTGTTTTTACATGGTACCTTTTGGTACATTTTTTACATGTTACGGGGGGCGAGGACGGGTTATGTTGGACTCAAATCGAGTAAAACACCAAGGTGTTTCACCATCGCCGTATATTGGCGGGGTCGCGGGAACGCTTCCTCACACATCCGCGGTCCACGATTGCAGGCTGCCGCATGGCAGCCCTTCCTCGTGAGAGAACTTCTCCTTCTCCTTCTCAGGTAAGCTACACCAGGAACACAAGGCGCGCCATCCTCCCGAGCCCGATACGTGGAGGCCATGGAGCCAGGAGAAAACGAGAACTTGAAAGTAACAGCTTTCCTGACACCAGTGGCGGATCTAGTCTGAGGCTCTGGATAAATACTTACCTAGTGCAATAGCCCCAAGCAGCACAGCCACAGCACGGTCGCGGCGCGGCGGAGGTAGAGCTGCAGCAAGTGCAAGTCCAGCTACACCAGCCAACGCTGATCCTGTGCCGTGTATGATCCGCCCCAGGCCCGCTCCCACCACGCCAGTACTGCTTCGCGCACACCACGCAAATACTGATGAAATTTTTTAAATTTATTCTAGCATAACATGGTAGAGCCACGCTGCATCACTATATCATAATTGTAGGACGAATGAAATATACATATATATGGCTCACAGCATCCACTTACCATCAGGTACACTGTGTGCTCGTCCGTTACCCCCTATTGTATAAAAAAAATTGGCTACGAGGTTTTCTGCTTAAAGCTCAAACACTGAAAGTAGACTATGTTCTTCGCAATACGTTGATGCATCATATTAAAATGGTTTTGGAAGACTACACTTACCAAAAGGTGAGATTGCGGTCAAGCACTCGCTTATAGTTAAAAAAATTGTAAAAAGTTAAAAAATTTACACTACAACGTCAAACAGGTCCCCCATCATCTGTGAACATGGGTGCTGTAAAGCGCCCGAAATGTGAAATTTGTTTTACACATTATAGTATGCTTAATGTACGTCACCTGTTGCAGCAATAGCCAGTAGTATGGTTCCTGCTCGAAGTACGGGGGCTGGGCCGCGACGAGTGACTGCATTGGCGGCCATTGGCGCGGTTAGCAATTGTGCTGCCGCCTTCGCACCCAACACAGCACCGACCACTGCTTGCGATCCACCCACACCTGGTAAATCATACTTCTGATTACCTTTCTTTATAATATTCAGCCGCTGTTACTACATTAGCCGTGTAGTGGCGCCGTGTGAATATCCACTACCTCATAAAATCCCGTGGCTGTCCTGAGAAGCGGCAGAAGAAGGTAGATGGTAGCGTCTTCCACATTCCAACTCAAAATACAAAACAGCGGTAGCCTGCCAAGCGTGGCAGCCATTGAAAATATTCTCTCTATGAGGCTATCTATGAATGGAGCAGCAGCATCTTTGCAACTATATCTAATATTATATCTCCTATGAGCCAAGTTATGAGAGTGGCCCGTCTTCCACAGTGGACTTTTGATAGATTGTAGTGACTGACATCATTCTTAAGAACGTGGAGCATGGTAGCTGATGCAACTTACCATGCTACACTTGAACTATAGAAGTTATCAGGCGTGCACACAGCCCATTTGATGGTTAGTGTTGGCTGTGGCCCATAGACATCTACATCTATCAGTTCTTCGGTTCTCTACACTTTCCATGTGAAACATAGCAGCATTGAGCGGGTATTTCATGCTGGTATTCTCTGAGAGATTTTATCATTTACCGGTCAAAACGACCCAATCGTACTGAAACTGTAATATAGCCGTCATGTCGCTTCCTTAGTGCAATAAAACTTAAATTTATACCTTCATCTTCGTCAGCGTTGGTAATTTGGTTCACTGTGGTGTTCAATAACTTCATTAGCGGTGCATCATGCGTGGCCCAAAGCGCCAGTGACTCGCCGCGGACCCAATCCGGAATAATCGGAACTAAAATATACAGTATATCATTGAGTATTTATTAAAAGAAAACAAGAATATAACTTCGATCTACATACAACATATAACGAAAATCCGGTTCCGGGGTTTTTGACAATAATCTTGCTCCTTTTTGCGCCAATTCAGAGATAATAAACCCACATACAATTCGCAAATAATAATATTTAGTTTAATTTAAGTTTTTTGTCGAGTTTTTACTACAGTTATTTCTATAGGCTTAAATACTGATTCTGATGACGCACTTAACGGGAAGCACATAGTTTTTGTTACATGTTGTTCATAAATCAGAGGAGAATAATAACTGACCAAGTACTGTGAGTAGAACATTGTCAAGGAAAAACGTAAGGTACACGATTGCGAAGGCTACTAAGCCGTTGCCAGACGCGCGTTCGTATAGCATGTTGGAATAAAATGCCGCGCGTCGTGTCGCGTTGCGATAAAGAACCCAGTGCGTTTCCAATCAGTGCTCATCCGCGCGTGTGCATCTGTCCTAATGTAATTTTCTGCTACACTCCCGCAACTTATCGTACTGCCTGTGTAGTGTGTATAATACTTTAGGAAATTGATGTATTATATTCTTGTAATTTCTATACTGAAGATGTCATCGTTTTTTAAAAAGAAAGTAATGCGATTCTGCACTGTATTTTCCCTGTAGGGGTCAATACAGATAATAATTGTAGACCACATTACTATTAGAAGTTAGTTTAACCATATTATTATTTAAATATGTTACAGGCACATGTAACTTCTCGCATAATTACTATTATAACAGTTAATTGTTTTAATACCGTATTCTCTAAAATAGTAAAAGGTTTCAATGAGAAAGATACAAAAGTATTTACAATAATGAAGTGTTTACAGTAGTGAAGTTTTGAAAGCCATATGCTACGCCATCGCTTCAACAAGTCCCTAATGCGTTGTGATCTTGTAAGAAAAAGCAGCAAGAAACTCACATATGGACAAATAGCAGTTTATATATAGTATATACATATCATTAATAATTCATAGTCAAAAGGTTTTTTTGTTAATTTTTTTTTTTTTTCCCAGCATAATATATATATATATATATATATATATATATATATATATATATATATATATATATATATATATATATATATATATATATATATATATTATTGCATAACACTTATTGAAAGTGATTTTTTTATTTACCACTGGTTCATAAATAATCTTTGTCCTGGGAAGAACCAGCATCAAGAAACCCAGCAGGTTTGTTTAAACATTTTTCACTTTACAATTATTTATTCTGTACAATTTTGGAATGAATTTTTATAGAACCAGCATAGTGGCGATCACCTCATTCCCGGGGGTTATTTTCATCTATGTATTCTTGGATATTATAATAACCCTTTTTGTACAATTTTTCTTTAGTAATTCTTTGGAGTCCAGTAACTGGTATTACATGCATATGTTTGTTCCAAGTGTTTAAAGTATGAACATCTTTATTCTTATGAAAACTATTTATGTTTTTATGTACATACATTACATTTCCATAAACATGTTGCGATGCCACAGTTAATATATATAAAATGTTCATTACCTTAAATTTTGTATAAGGGACTACGCTCGTACGGCTCTCTTTTGCAAAACAAATTCGACTTCAATGCCAGTCGTATTACCCCATAGTAAGATTCCATAAGACATTAGGTACGCTAGGAAAGTAACTAAAATAAACTAATCTGTCTGCTGTCTCAGCATTGGTACAATATATAATATTGTCTATAATGAATTGTGATACAATAGTATTAACATATCATCATCATCATTGCAGCCCTTCACAAGTCTACTGCTGAACATAAGCCTCTCCCAAGGAATACTACAAAGCACGGTTCTGAGCCACCTGCATCCATCAACTTCCTGCATGTCCTACCAGGTCGTCACTCCATCTAGTGGGGGTCGCCCTACACTTCGCCTACCGGTACGAGGCTGCCACTCGAGAACCTTTTTTCCTCAACGGTTGTCGGTTCTTCGGGCTATATGGCCGTCCCATTGCCACCTCAGATTATTAATCCGTTGAGTTATGTCGGTCACTCTTGTTCTAATGCGGATATCCTCATTTCTAAGTTTATCACGCAGAGAAATCCCGAGCTTAGCCCTCTCCATAGCTCGCTGAACGCCTTGAGTATCCTCATAAGGCCAGCAATGAAGGACCAGGTCTCAGATCCGTAAGTCATCACTGGCAACACGCACTGGTTGTACAATCTAATTTTCATTTTTTGAGGTATACCTGACGCGAAGATGTGTCGTAATTTCCCGAACGCTGTCCAATCGAGATGAATCCGTCGATTGGCCTCTCGGTCGAAGATGGACTTACCTATTCGGACTATTTGTCCCAGGTAAACGTACTCGTCAATAACTTCGGCCTAAGTGCTCCCAAAACTACCGGCATAGGTGTAAGAGGGATATTAAACATGATCTTTGTTTTGTCCATGTTCATCTTAAGACCTATTCGTTGGGAGACACTATTGAGGTCATTGAGCATAGTGCTTAGGTCCTCCAGCGATTCTGCCATAAGGACTATGTCGTCGGCAAATCGAAGGTGAGTGATGTATTGTGTTATATGTATATGACGCCAATGATGTTAATACCGTATCCTTTCCAGTCCAGTAGCTTGAAAACGTCTTTCAATGCAGCGGTGAAAAGTTTCGGGGATATGACGTCACCCTGTCTAACATCTCTCTGCAGTTGGATAGGTTTCGAACTCTGGTTCTGTACTCGGAGAGCCATCCCAATTCTACTATACAAACAATTCAGCATTTCGATATACCGGCAGTCAACTTGGTACCGCTAAAGGGACTGTAGCACTGCCGAAATTGCGACGTAATCAAAGGCTTACTCATAGTTCACATACGTCAGGCAAAGTGGCAGATTGTACTCTTCGGTCTTCTGAACAATCTGCCGCAGGGTATGTATGTGGTCTATGGTAATGAAGCCTTTTCGGAAACTGGCTTGTTCGGGAGGCTGGAAGTCGTCGAGTCTGCTTGAGAGACAATTTGTAATGACTCTCGAAAACAGCACGTAGACACGGTTCAGAAGGGAAATTGGTCTGTAGTTCTTCAAGAGAGCGTTATCGCGTTTCTTGTAGAACAAGACCACTGCACGTTTGCTCTACTACCGATTCTGGAGGACGGAATTGAAGAGCTTTTAAAGGACTTTAAGTACCGGTGTTCCACCCGCTTTCAGAAGCACCGCTGTAATTCCATCCTCGCCTGGGGCCTTGCCGTTTTTAAGGTGCTGGAGAGCCATCCTAATCTCGCTCAGACTGACGTCCGGGATATCATCGAAATAGTGTCGGATATGACTTGGTCTTGGATCGTTACTTACATTTACGTATGGCTTCAACGGTGATGTGTACAGTTGCCCATAGAACCTCTCAATTTCACTCAAAATCTCAGGTGTTCCGGAAACGATTCTGCCACACTCAGTCCTCATCTTTGACAGTTGGCTCTTTCTGGCAGACAGATCTCTGGCAAATACTTTGGAGCCCTGGTTCCGCTCGATCGCTTCTTTAATACGAGTAGTATTAAAGTTGCGTAAGTCTCGCCGCATGCATTTGGAGATCTGTCTGTTCAGTTGCCTGTATGCTGTCAAAACTGCAGCTTCATATCGCGTCTAACAGATGTGATTAAGACAGATGTGATTGAATGAGATTGAGAGTATGATCGGAGAGTTTTTGTGTTCTTCTGCGGCGGGTTTGGCAGAACTTAGCTCCGACCGCATGGACAGTTCCACGAGCTTGTCATTTATATCGTCAACTGCATTGCAATCTTCTAGACACTAAAAACCGTTTTGTACTCGAGCTGAAAGCTTTCGGGATTTTGGATTAGAGCACGAGGGGGACGAAGCGTTGACTTCATTAGACGATATCTCTGCAACTTAACGTTTAGGTTCAGTGCGACTCTAACCATTCGGTGATTGCTGCCCGTTTTCATCCTTGCGATCACTGAGACATCACTGAATAGTTGCCGTCTAGTCGTCATAATGTAGTCAATCTCATTTTTGTCGAACTATCGGGGCTCAATCAGGTCCACTTTCTGTGGGACCGCTTCTGGATGAAAGACTTCATCATAAAGAGTCCCTCACTCTCAATGAAGTCGGCCAGCTGCTGGCCCCCTGGTTTCCCTTGCCCTATCCCAAATTTCCCTACTTTCAGCTTACCGTTCTTTCTTGTGCCTTCGCGTTGAAGTCTCCCATTAACACCGTATAGTGTGTTTTGGAGGAATGCATGGCTTTAGAAATATCCTCATACATTTCCTCGGGACCTTCTCATCGGGACTTTCCTTGGGACAGATGGTCACCCGCCCCGTGATAGAACAAGTTGTGGATTCGAGAATCACCGTGTCCTCCCCCTCTCTTGGAACCTCGGATAATCCTATAATATTCCAGCGCAACTTATCTATCTCTTCTTCCAGCTCCAGGATCTTCTCGTCAGTCCGCAGGGTGCGTGCCTTATATATATATATATATATATATATATATATATATATATATATATATATATATATATATATATATATATATATATATATATATGTAACGTAATTAACGCACACCCTCAGACACCCCAATTAGTATATTATGTTATAATCATAATACATATACTGAAATTTTAGTTAAACATTTTTATGCACTCATTATTTATCAAATTAGTTATACTAATTCTGGAAGAATGTTGTGATCACAGTACAAATCCATGAACGCAAAGACTTTAACGTGCTTGAAATAAAGTTCATTTTTCTTTATTTTTATTGAATGACAGAATTAGTAATAATACAAATAAAACTGCACTCTTAAAAGTCTTTTTGTCTTAAGTTACGGTCCATTTCAGTTTGTTTTGACTGTACAGATTTAGTGTGACTGTAATTTACGTAGTTTTAATTATTTTTGGGATAAAAAAATTACCTATATTAAAAATGATAGGAATCAATTCAGTAAACGATTCTGAACAAACTACTTTCTCAAAGTGCGTTAATTATGTTACATGTTGTATATATATGTTGCTAGGTCGAGTCGTTGTAGGTGGCAACCGAACCTCCACCGGAGATTCTTAGCACCCACTACCCCGCCGTTACCATGGTCGCCACCGTAGCCAGGAATAGCGGGTCTGCCGACGGGGGCATCTATTTGCGTCGTTGCTCATTAGGGATGTATTGCCATAGTTGCCACGCTTGGCGAGTGGGTTGGCAACCGCAGTTTTTTTTGTCGTACAGTTGCTGCTATCAGGAAGATGTTGCTGCCCATCTCTTGCCTGTTTCCCGCTGTCGCCTCTTATGACACCCACGGGAAGATATGGGGTAGCGGATATTCTTAACCGCCGCTACACGGCTGTATTAACATGTGCGTATGTCTTTAAAATGATCTCGGAGTGTGTTCTTT